GGTCCGTCCCTTGCCATGCCTAGACTGACCTGGGCATTGAGACAAGCAGTTAAAACCCAACATAGTAAGTCCTATGATAAGACACAAACTAAGCATGGCTGGAAGGGCAGATAAGATTGCACAGAGGAATTGATATCTTGACCGGCACATTTAGAAGATGAGTAGGAGTCAGCTGGGCTAAGAGGAGGAAAAGTGTGTTTCCACGAGGAAGAAGAGCATGTGCAAAGTCCTGGGAGTGAGAAGCATGGCATGTGTCAACAGAAAGACATGGCTGGAACTTGGATGGGAGTTAGAGTGGGGGAGAGAAGGCAAGGAAAAACATTAAGAGCTTTGCAAACTGTGTGAAGGCATTGCATTTAGATTTCATTTTTAGAGCTTGGAGGAGCCTCAGGACATTGAGGCAGGATAGTGGCCAGATGGCATATGATTTTAGGAAAATCGCTGTGGCCACACTGTGGGGAAGGATTGGTGGGGGAAGGCTGGAGGCAGAGGGTCCCACAGTGGGCTGTGGTAACCATCTGGGCTGGAGAAGGTAGGGACTATGGTGGTGCCCGAGGCAAAATTGGTTTTGCTTTGAAAAATCACCAGAAAATATTTGTTTTGATCTGTGTGCCTGTGGTGGGAGGTGGGGAGGGAGGGTCAGGTGAGGAAGAAGGTCGAATCTAGAATAATGCCCATGTTTCAGGCTTCACGTGCAGACATTTCTTGGTTCAGCTGGGAAGTGAGTAGGAACACACTGGCGAGGAAAGACGAGAGTCATCCGTTCTGTCTGGGGCACATCCATCTTGACGAGTGTGAGAGAGTCAAGTCTTGATGGACGGGGGCAGGTGGACATTCAGAAGCTCAGGAAAGAGATTTGGTCTGAAGTGACCGCCAGAAAATACTGAGGGAACAGTGGTGAAAAAAGAGAGACCTGCAATATTATATTGGCTTTCTCTCAGGCAACTGCTTGGCCTGTCTTCATATTCCTTTTGAATCTCTGCATATGTATGGGCCATTATTTATTTTCATAACTAACAAATATAGACTTTCTGTGTAATGACAACAAAGCTAAACCAGCTGCTACCAAAGGAGGGAAAATAAGAAGAGAAGGAAAAAGAAAAAGAAAAAGGGAAGCTTGGGGAAAAGTTGAATGTGGGTCCTTCTGTTGCTGCAGGGGCTGGGGTGGGCCTGGTGATTCCTACTGAGAGGCATTTTCTCTCCTTGTTCCTGTCTTTCTGGTTCCATCTCTTTCACCACCTGTCACCTCCACTTCCTACCAGTCAAACCTTAGATTCCTCCAGAGACCTTTTATTTTTATCTTTTGGCGGGCAAGAAAATAGTGCTGATTATTTTTCCAAACCTTCACCTGAACATCATGGCTTTGGGCCTTTGGGCTTGGTTCATCTGGGCCTGCACAGAAGGACTTTGGGGCCAATCTGGTCACATACATCAAGTCCTGTGTTTTCAGTTAAAAAAAAAACACACTGCTATGTTTCACTAAGACAATTGGTGTGAGTTGTTTTTGAGAAAATAAACTCTACTTCAGTAAGATTTTCTCATGCATTATCTTGAGAAGACCAGATAATAAAATTTAAAAAGAATTTCTTCTTAATGCAACTTAAATCAATTGCTTTAATAACACATATTGACCATGTTACACTTGTTAAAGAAAAGAAAAAAAACTACTTTGTTGTTTTTCTTCTTCTGACATGGCTGAAGACTTAGAAATAGTTGTTAATGGTGTTTGTTTAAGAAGAATTTGTTTTAATTGCATATATCAAATATGTATTTATTAAATTTTTCTTTTTGCCAGTTTATCAATTCTAGCTTTGTCACAAAAGGTTTGCAGTATGAACATGATTCTGTTGTATGTCTATTTCCATTTTTGTTAAGAGATGAATTCAATTGTAAAAATCTAGTATATTTTATGCATTAAACATGTTAGTTCAGGAATTTCACTTGGTTCTACAAAGAAACCTATCTACAGTGAATGGCCAATCCAAACATGAGACTCAGCCAACTGGCCTCTGACCCAATTCAGTTCTCCTATCTTCTTCTGGCTTACAAAGTAACTGACTCTGAGGAGACAGTGAGTCAAAGTAATATTTGGTTTGAATGGTTATTGACTATTTTCCTCTGAAACTTAATGTATACTAATTTATTTTTTATTTTATTCTTTTTTTTTTTTGAGAGATAGGGTCTCGCTCTGTTGTCTCTGCTGGAGTGTAGTGGTGCAATCACAGCTCACTGCAGCCTTGACCTCCTGGGCTCAAGCGATCTCCTGTCTCAGCCTCCCGAGTGGCTAGGACTACAGGCATGTGCCATCATGCCAGGCTAATATTTAATTTAATTTTTTTTTTTTTTTTTTGTAGAGACAAGATATTGTTATGTTGCCCAAGCTGGTCTAAAACTCTTGGTCTCAAGCTGTCCTCCCACCTCAGCTTCCTGAAGTACTGGAATTATAGGCATGAGCTGCCACACCTGGCCATATACTCATTTTTTTAAAAAACTGAAATATATCAGCATATACTGCATAAATATCACAGGAGACTAAACACTGAAAGTTTCTTTAGGGTATCAGAAGAATACTCTTTTTGCTTGCAGTTAGCATCTGCACAGATAAGTTTTGTTTCTGGTTCTATTACTTCTTCAGTTTGACCCTATTAATAAGGACAATTCTAAAAATAATAACGATGTCTGGATATCTGAGTCAGTGTGTGGTCTTTTACTGAAGTTACGGTTTATAACTCTCTGACTAGTTTGCTGGTTTCTGTTATGCAATAGAAGAGTGCAAATGTTAATTTGATCTGAAGCCCGTTTATACAGTGACTTTTATAATGTATATTTAAAGATGGAAAGCCAAGTTTTATGAGAGCAGCATTTCTGGTCAAGTCCTCACTCCACCCTCTTCTAATTGGGCCTGACCCTTTAGTTGAATAAAGAACAAAGAGCTCTGTAGTTAAAACATTTCACTGCATGTTGCATCTTGCCCTTAGTAAATGGAAAAAATAGAGACTTAAGCAGAGAATCTGAATTAGAGTGTGAAATGTATATTCAAATTTGGGGTGGGAGAATGAGAAACATGTTTTACCATAGTAGACATAACTTCCTTAGTCTAAATTCAGGACATTTCCCCAAGATATGTAAGAATTTACACTTATGCAAACAGACTTTATAAAAACATGCCAATATTTATTAGTTTGTGAATTTTAATATTCTGCTCCCTATAAATCAGATTTCTTTTGAGGGATAAAGGGATGGAGGTGACTTCTAAATCTTAGAGCAGAAACTTCCTGTGGGCAGCTGGATATATATACCAGGAGCTCAGAGAAGAAGGTTGGGTTGGAAGCGTACATTCTGAGTGGTCTGCATTTGGTGATGATGGAAGCCATGGACATGCACTAGATTCTCTTGTGGGAGAATATGGAGTAGTAAGAGAAGAAGAAGACCTAAGACTGAGCCCTGAGCAGCTCTGGCTTAATGGTGGATGGAGGAAATTGAATCTGTAGACAAGACCTGGAGGCTGCAGCCTGAGAGGCAGAAGCAACTGGGGTGTTTAGGATTATGGAAGCCTAGGGAAAAAGCCTCTTTCAAGGGAGAAGGGGAGGTATCAACATTGTAGGCTGCTCCAGATAGGTTATGTAGGATGTGGACTGAAAAATATCTGTAAAATTTGGCAACAGGATTCATTGATAATCTTAGGGAAGTTGCTTTTTTGGGGCAACCAAGGTGGAAAACAGATTGGCGTGGGTTGAGCCCCGCAAGAGAGGTGAAGAAAAGGAGATTTCATGTGCAGACATTTCTGAGTTCAGCTAGGAACGAGGGGCAAGATAGAATGGAAGTTAGAGAGCATGTGGGGCAAGGGTGACTGTTTTACAGGACAGTCTTGCATGTGATCAAAGCCAATGAGTAAGGAGCATTTGAGGGAGAGAGAGTCAATCAACAAGAGAGAAAACAAAGAAGGTTAATCATAAAATAACGGTAACAACAACAAACATCTTTTGAGTGTTTTCCATATCCAGAGAATGATGGTAAACTCCTGACCTGCATTCTCACGTTCAATTCTTAGAATCTTTGGATGTGGTGGATTCCATGATTGTCTCTAGGTTAGTGAGGAGGAAAGAGAGACTTAGAAACGTAAGATAGCTTGCTCAGAGTTCTCCAGGCAGTCAGTGATGGACTAACTTACAAACTGAAGGACTGAACTTTGTCACCACGCAGCCCACCAAGCCGGCTTGAATTTAGGTATTCTGTGCTGCATGTGATTACCGACTTAATTAAATTATATTTTAAGAAGGGCTACTTTGAAACTTGCGCTCTGAAAATTCTATTTCTAATATCTCTACCCTGACAACGATTTTGGTAAGCAGCCTTGATCAAACCAAACCAAACCAAACCAAATCCAAAAAACCTTATCTGCTGAGAAAATATAACCATATAAAATATGGTGCTACAAAACACAGACTGTGTGAACTAAAGGTGACTTGCCCAAAGGACTCCTGAAGCAATTGGCTGCTGAAAAAATAAAGCCCACAAAAGGATTTTTTTTTTTTTTTTTTTTTGAGACAGGAGTCTCACTCTGTTGCCTAGGCTGGAGTGTAGTGGCGCAATCTTGGCTCACTGCAACCTCCGCCTCCTGAGTTCAAGCGATTCTCCTGCCCCAGCTTCCTGAGTAGCTGGGATTATAGGCGCGCACCACCACACCCGGATAATTTTCGTATTTTTAGTAGAGACGGGAGTTTCACCATGTTGGTCAGGCTGGTCTCGAACTCCTGACCTCGTGATCCACCCACCTCGGCCTCCCAAAGTGCTGGGATTACAGGCTTGAGCCAGCGTGCCTGGCCCATGAGAGGTTTTGTTTGCACTTCAAGAAGAACAGAAAAAGGCAGGCAGGCTGAGGAGCCCCATGGTAAGGCTGAGGAATTGATAGGGAAACAGCCTCCCAAAGGTTTCCCTGTGGATTCTGACTGGCTAAGTTTCCTGAAATAATATTAATTCTGTCCTCTTGCTTTTAACAGGACATAACGACTATATGTGTCCAGCCACCAACCAGTGCACCATTGATAAGAACAGGAGGAAGAGCTGCCAGGCCTGCCGGCTCCGCAAATGCTACGAAGTGGGAATGATGAAAGGTGGTAGGTACATCTCTCCCAGGGGCCCTTGGGGACGGCCCTGGCCACTGCCCAGTGCTGGCTCTTCCCATTCGAATACAACCATGAGAATTTTGTGTTTTTTTTTCTTTTAATTTTTTTTTTCTGTTCTTATTTTTCTTTGCAACAAAAGTATTTTCATAACCCATTTGATTTTAAAAAGGTGGAAGTGTCTGGAACTGGAAATTCTAACATGGCATTTTGTGGTTTGGATTTTCAATGTAAATAATTATATTTTAAATCAAAGGTGTGTGGGAGGCGGTGATGGAAGGAAATGAAGAGTGCTTAGTGAATTATTCCAGAAATATTTTTCAGTTACTGTTTATATTGCAAATGCTAGAAAATGATATCTGAGGATAAACTTTCAAATTGAGACTTGTAAATGTGAAAGCTAACTAGCTAATTTATAGCCTTCTAGTCTCTTATCATCCCTTAAGGAATGTGAATTTCAATCAAAAGGCAGTTTTCTCCTTCAGAACCTGAGTCAACCAGCCATTTTCTTAACCTCAGTGTCTAGCATGATGCTGGCATAGTTGATTACTGAGCACTACACTAACGAGTACCAAAGCACGCAGGGTTTGTGACTATGGGCTTGTGTCTTTGTGGCTGTGTGTGTGTGTGTGTGTGTGTGTGTGTGTGGTTTTCTGTCTTCTCATGTATCCCGTCCTCCAGTTTTCTCATACAGGAATCTGGAAACTGAATCCCAGTTCTGGGAATATTAGGAGCCCCATAAATGTGGTTGCCTGATTGACCTCATTGTATTCTTGGGAGTCTCATCTTGAGGAATATTGCTTCTAGTCTTCGATAGCCTTCAGTGTAGTGGAAGAAAACACGTAGAAAATGTGTAATTAAAATAAAGTCACAAGGCTGAGTTGGGCAAATCACCTGAGGTCAGGAGTTAGAGACCAGCCTGGCCAACATGGCGAAACCCCATTTCTACTGAAAATACAAAAATTAGCTGGGTATGGTGACGAGCGCCAGTAGGCTCAGCTACTCAGGAGGCAGAGGCAGGAGAATCGCTTGAACCTGGGAGATGGAGGTTGCAGTGAACCAAGATGGTGCCACTGCACTCCAGCCTGGATGATAGAGTGAGACTCTGTCTCAATAAATAAATAAATAAATAAATAAAGCAAGCCATGGATTCATTTAGTGTTTCAGAAGGATACTGAAGGGAGGAAGGGCTGATGATGGTGCTACCTGCTGATTATAATAGGGAAAAGCCCATTTCTTTTCTGAAGGAGGTGAAGCTTGGGGTGATTTAAGGAGAACAAAATTTCAATGAAAAGGAATAGTGATTTTGCAAGTAGTGGGCAGCTAACCTTTAAATCATTCTTACTTGGACGCAGGAGGAAGGAGAGGAAAGACCAAGAATGGAGATTATGATGAAGGCAAGCTTGATGGTTAACAAGCTTACAGTGACAGGTTTCTTAGTCCTGGGCTCATAAACAAGCCGGACAGGCTGAGGTTTGGAATGCAGCATTTGGAATAAATTCTCCTGGTGAAGAGATGCGATGTTGAATTTGCAGATTCTGTGAGCTGTGACTGACTATACATCTTGAACATCTGAAAAAGCAGCTTTAATTCAAAGGCTAATTAATTCCAAGAATTTAACAGGTACATTCAGAAAATGACACTTGAGTCATAAATGGATTAAATATTTAAGGAATTCATCTTTCTTTGTACTGTTGGAGAATTAGTCAGGCTTAATTAAACTCACAAAATGCTTCTTAAGGTAACTTGATAAGTGACAGGAATATAACAGCTGCATAAGAAAAGCTTAATTTGAAACAGTGTAGTCAAAGTTTAATATTCTTCTTTGGCGATTATAGGTAGGTTAAGCACAGGCTCTTACATACATTCTCCTGCAAAGCTGAAATAATCAAGTTGTGAATATGTCCAAAACAATTTTTAAAATGTGAGGGTACCCACACATTGACCCCACTTCATAAAACCAATTCTGTTTTTATTGTAATTAATATCCAGATATGGTTTGGCTGCATGAATATAAATTATGCCTTCTCATTTTTAATCTAACAAAAATTCGAATATGCAAAGACATAATAAAAGTCTCCCCACTGTTTTCACCTAGAAATCTAGATAATTTGACTGCACACGACAGACTGTGGATAGATCCATACACACTCGCACATGTATATTGATGACTGTAAATATATATATCCGTATTAGTTTTCCAGGGCTGCCATAATGAAATACCACAGGCTGGGTGGCTTAAACAACGGAAATTAATTTTCTCCCAATTCTGGAAGCTGGACATACAAAATCAAAGTGCTGGAATATTTGGTTTCTAGTGAGCCCCCTCTTTTTTTTTTTTTTTTTTTTTGAGAGACGGAGTCTTGCTCTGTTGGCCAGAATGGAGTGCAGTGGTGCAATCTCGGCTCACTGAAACCTCCGCCTCCCAGGTTCAGGCAATTCTCCTGCCTCAGCTTCCCAAGTAGCTGGGACTACAGGTGCATGCCACTATACCCAACTAATTTTTGTATTTTTTTGTAGAGATGGAGTTTCACTATATGTTGGCCAGGCTGGTCTTGAACTCCTGACCTCTGGTGATCCGCCTGCCTTGGCCTCCCAAAGTGCTGGGATTACAGGCGTGAGCCACCAGGCCTGGCTTGTGAGGCCTCTCTTCTAGGCTTGTGGCTAGCTGTCTTCTCCCTGTGTCCTCACATGGCCTTTCCTCTGTGTCCAAGCACTCTTGGCATCTCTTCCTCTTCTCATACGCCCTGTTGGATTAGGGGTCCACCCTTATGACCTCATTTAACCTTAGTTACCTCCAAAAAGGCCCTATTTCCAAATATAGTCATACCAGGGGCTAGGGCTTCAACATACAAGTTTTGTGGGGACACAGTTCATAACAGGCTGCCCTCCCAAAATACCATAGACTGGGTGGCTTAAGTAGCAGAAGTCAATTGCCTCACAGCTTTGGAGGCTGAAGTCTGAGACCAAGGTGCTGGCAGGTTTGGGTTTTTCCTGAGGCCTCTCTCCTTGGCTTGCAGATGGCTGCCTTCTCTCTGTGTCCCCACACGGCCTTTTCTCCGTGCATCCACAGCTTCTTCCTCTTCTTAGAAAGACACCAGTCATATCGGATTAGGACCCCACACACAAGACCTCATTGAATCTTAATTACCTCACTTAAGGTACAATATCCAAATACAGTCACATTCTGAGGCCCGGGGGGTAAGGTTTCAACATATGTGGCAATATCCCATAGGGATTACTCAGCGATTGTTCAGTATTTCTCTACCTGTAATGAAAACATGTATCTTTCTGGCAGTTTTTATATGTACGTTAGTTTTAAGTGAAGCTTTAAATTCATAAAATTATAGCCCGTGAGAACATCTTATTTTAATGATATGTATCAAGTGCTTGCCATAAAGCAATATAATATATTGTATTTTCTACTACATGGAATACCACACATGGCCACAGGATACCTTCTATAACAACAACTTGAAAAATCCCGTTGAATAAAGACTTAATTTACAACTGGAAGTACAATGATAACTAACTATAAAATGTGCAGTCACATGGCAAAGACCAGCTGTGACGGAATAAATCTTTACAACGTGTTTTCAACCATTAGGGTTCACAACAATCCACTTTAACTGGGCTGGTTACCAATTAGGATACTGAAACTCTAACTATGAAACAAAAAGTTTAGTTTCAGTTAAAAGAGAACCACAGACCTACTCCCTACTTTTATAGCAAGGCTGAAAAAATTTACTGAAGATCTATCGTAAAGATTCAAAAGAGTGCATGATTTATCTCCATGAAGTAACAATTTTAATCTGTTACAATACTTATTGCCTCTGAAAATCCCAGCATCATTATTAGATTTGGTTCGAATCTTGGTAGTTCTATAAGATGCAGGATTTGAATTGCACTTTTGGGAGTGTGCTTTTCTATCCTAGTACGTGTGCTGGTTTCTCTGCATTGCTTTTTCCTCTTCATTTGTCTCCTTCCCCTTGAACTTTAGATTGTAGATTACATGTCTCTTCTTCAGGAAGGCCTACACAGTTCCCTGACAGTTCCTGAGGCTTGAAGTTCAAAATGAAGATGCTGGAAAATTCATGTTCTAGCTTTAACGGCAAACAGCTCTTCTCTTAGCTCTCATCACCATTATTATTAGTCGTTCAATGTCTGTCTTTATATACGGTCCATAAACTCCATGATGGCAGGGGGGTCTCTGTGTCTCGTTTACTGATCTCACATGAAACCAGTCATAAGGTAGATGTTCAAGAAGTATCTTTTTTTTGCACTAATTAATAAGTTGATTAAATTCATTTAAATAGTTATTTGTGTAGGGCTTCTTATATGCAAACCCTTGGGAATAAAGCAAATATGAATAAGATTCTAGTCCCTTCCCTCAATGTCCTCACAGTATAAAGAGAACATTTGCATGGGAAGTGGCAAATAAAAATCTCAACAGCAAGTGGAGACAGGGTTGCAAGATGGCTCAAATATTGAGTGATCAGAATAGGAGTCTAGAGCTTTACCCAGCCACTCCCAGGTTTAGTCCAACTCAGAATATTACTCAGACATCTGACATCCAAGACATATACTATTACTCAAGAATTTGGCCTTCTTGCTGAGTTTGGTAGAAAGAGGAACTCTTCCCAAGATAAATCTGTTCAAATGCTGGCTCCTTCTCAAACTTGCTGAGCAACCTTGTTAAAGTTACTTTTATGAGCTTCACTGATTTCGAATATGAAATGGAGAGAAATAAATTCTACTGTCCAAGCATGGTGGCTCACGCCTGTAATCCCAGCACTTTGGGAGGTCAAGGTGGGTGGATCACCTGAAGTCAGGAGTTCAAGACCAGCCTGGCCAACAAAGTGAAATCTCGTCTCTACAAAATTAGCCAGATGTGATGGCAGGCACCTATAATCCCAGCTACTCAGGAGGATGAGGTTCAAGAATCCCACTTGAACCCGGGAGGCAGAGGTTGCAGTGAGCCAAGATTGCACCAC